AAGTTTTCAACTAGTTCAAACTTTTTTTTAAAAATATTTAATGGACCAGAATATTTTGTTCGTTAACACGCAACACTATGCTATAAGCGCCCACGTCTAGAGGTTCGAGGCTACGAATTCAGCTCCGCGAAGACACTCAGTGTCTCAGCCAAGGAATCGTGTCTCGGCTTACCCGACTCATATTTCAGATCCCCACCGGATATGACGCAGCGAAACACCGGATCCGCTAACGGCTCTAAAAAGTCCCTGTAGAGCAGAGAGTTTTAGGCGATTCGGGTCTGTGGGTGGTATTTGGCTTCAGTCGACAAAACAATACACAGGGCGCCGCTATATAGCACAATTAATTATTGGGGATGGCTAATTATTGTGGATTAATGCGGTTAATGTCTTATCTTACTAAAGATTTTTTAATTACTTCCGCGTGTGATTTGTGAAAGTAGAAATGTGGGTTTACCGGAGGATTTACGTCACTTATACAGGCTTACGTTAAAGCCCTTAAGCCGTGGTGCTGGTATATCATCTGGATTGTCGGGTCTACGACAAAGTCCCGAATATGGGAATTAGGGCGTTTGTCGCATTCGGGCAAATGTCCATTCGGGAAATCGGCCTTTGGGAAAACGGCATTCGGGCAAGTGTCTTTCGGGAAAACGTCCAGCTCCCGGATTGTCAGTGTAATCATAGCTGATAGAACTAAAGTCTGTTAGTTGTTTCATTCATCTATCAAGATGATCTAGTTTTAGTCCTTTATTTCATCCAAAGATATTTGTTACTTTCAACTGTTCCTACCAACACGTTTGTGTAACAAGTTTGGGTTATGAAACAAGTTTTGGTTGTGTAACAAGTTTTGATTATAACAAGTTTCGGTTGTGTAACAAGTTTGGGTCGTGTAACAAGTTTGGGTTGTGTAACAAGTTTGGGTTGTGTAACAAGTTTTGATTATAACAAGTTTGGGTTGTGTAACAAGTTTGGGTTGTGTAACAAGTTTGGGTTGTGTAACAAGTTTGGGTTGTGTAACAAGTTTTGGTTGTGTAACAAGTTTTGGTTGTGTAACAAGTTTTGGTTGTGTAACAAGTTTTGGTTGTGTAACAAGTTTGGGTTGTGTAACAAGTTTGGGTTGTGTAACAATTTGTCATGAAGTGATGAGGTCAACATCCTCTATTTTTAAAAAAAAATCACGTGACATCATTCATGACGTCACTGTAACAATTTTAACATACAAAGAGGGAGAGAAGTTTAAAAGTAAACAAAGACGGAGTTTCGTCCCCTTGAGTTTAATGATATTTATCCACACCCGCACACCATCACTCACACACGCACACACTTACAGACACGTACGCAATCTCACACTCGCTCACCCACAGACAGACGCACGCTCAGACATACCTACGCACAGACATACCTACGCACAGACAGACCTACACACACAAACTGCTCCACCCCGGGATGGGAGAGGGTCATCGGTGTCATGTCCACGACTTTACCCCGGGGCCGGGACATTTGTCTTACATCCTGGAAGTGGTCACGTGATGAGGTCACCCACCCCCGTGTCCTGTCCACCTACGACTCGTGACGTCAGGGGGGAGCTATGTGTGGCTCAGGAGAAGGGGAGTGGGTGCGAGGTCCTCCATCAGGCACAGGGAGGGGGGGGGATAAATCAATGGGACATTCCGGGGTTCTTCAGGAAAGTGAAATGTCGTTCTTCAGTTGAGCAAAATGTCGCTATTCAGTTGAATGAAAAGTCGCCTTTCTTACTGTCAAATGATGGCAATATATATGTGATCTTGGTATGAGTCTAAATTTGATATGATTTTGGTATGGGTCTAAATTTGATGTGATTTTGGTATGGGTCTAAATTTGATGTGATTTTTGTATGGGTCTAAATTTGATGTGATCTAATTTGACGTGATTTAATAGCGGTCTAAATATGACGTGATCCTCGTATGTGTCGAAATGTAACGTGATCTTGATACAGGTCTAAATGTGATGTTTCTATGCAAGAACACACAAAACCTTACTTCAGCTTGTTATCGTAATGCTAAAATTTTATTTCCTAATTTTATTTCCCAAATGACTCAATCCCTATGTTACCGTTCTGACTTCTGCATTTCCCAACTGACTCCTGCATTTCCCTGCTGACTCTGATGTTCTACTGACTCATGTAATATCCATCCGACCACATTTTCTCGCCTATAAATATAGGCCCCACCATATCCTGTACCCTACGAGCGATATTAAGACCCTGCCCCTGATGTAGATACACGTTACATCCCCCTCCCTCCCCCCACCCCCTTACCCCCCAACCCACCAGCTTGCACTAACCAGCGCAGTCAGATGCCTCCGGGTCAATATTGCTGTTTGTTTAAAGAGAGGGGGGTGGGGGTGTAGGGTACGGACGAAAACAGGGTACATATTGTGGAGTGATTTTAAGTTATTGATTGACAGCAACAATAATCAAGCACAGCGTCAGGTTTTTTCTCCAAACGGTTTATTTTTTCTGTGAATTATCCAGTGCTGAGGTGAATTCTTCAGTGTTTTATAAAATAGAATTCTTTATAGTTGAACAACTCCATTCTTTTTCTACAGTTTAGCGGCAAATTATCCAAACTTCTGTTTTGATTTTAATGGTGCTAATTAATTGCAGTCAAAATTCTCTAAAAGATACTTTACTCAATTTACTCAACAACTTTGAAACGAGTAAAGCTCCTCCAAAAAACTGTAGACGTATAGATCTGTGTAAAACATCAACAACTACATTTTACCACTGGTATAACCAGCATGGGAGCAGGGTGGGGGTGGCGCTGACCTGTATATGTGTATTTAAAAAGATGTGCTGTCTTTTTCAGATGTTTTGTACTGCTAAAACTATTAAATCTACACAAACAATGCCAAGTGTGAATGCATTCCCCCCCCCCTTTTCTCTCTCCTCTCTCTCTCTCTCACTCTCTGCCCCGAAAGTTCGCTACACCCTGCTTCTGTCCATCATGTACGTTAACCACCTCAAGATCTTTGTCTTTCAGCAGGTAACTCGTGTCCTTCTCATTTTGTCCTTGACTACACCAGTGTAGCCTTGGGACGGAGGACGAGGGTAGTTAGCACGTGCAGCAGACGACGGCCAAGGTCATCTCCCGGGGGGTGACCCGTGTACACATGACCCCACTCACAGATGTGTGGTCAAGATTTTCTCCAGCAGCTGACCGTCTCGGCCACCAAGGACCGGTTGGCTCTCATTGTGTCAATAGTAGATTGGTGGTCAGGGGGGGGGGTCCACACCTCACTCACACACACACAAACACAATAGTAGATTGGTGGTCAGGGGGGGTCCCACACCTCACTCACACACACACACAATAGTAGATTGGTGGTCAGTGGGGGGGTCCCACACCTCACTCACACTCTCACACAATAGTAGATTGGTGGTCAATGGGGGGGGGGATCCCACACCTCACTCACACACACACACACAATAGTAGATTGGTGGTCAGTGGGGGGGGGGTCCCACACCTCGCTCACACACTCACACAATAGTAGATTGGTGGTCAGTGGGGAGGGGGGGTCCGCCCACACCTCACTCACACACACACAAACACAATAGTAGATTGGTGGTCATGGGGGGGTCCGCCCACACCTCACTCACACACACACACACAATAGTAGATTGGTGGTCAATGGGGGGGGTCCCACACCTCACTCACACACACACACACAATAGTAGATTGGTGGTCAATGGGGGGGGGGACCCACACCTCGCTCACACACACACACACACACTCACACTAGTAGATTGGTGGTCACATACATACACACACATTGACACAATTTATTAATTGTTTTGGTAATGCTGATCTCCGTGTCTTACGATGGTTGTTCTGTGTGTTGAGTGTGTTAAGGACAGTTGTGTGTGTTGACTGTGTTTAGCTAAAGTGAGCTTCATCTCACTCTACATTTGAATTTAGCTTTTCACAGTTAAATGTCATATGCCTAAACAGTCATCAATAAATTAATGAATAGACTTCGCGCAGTTTCTATCCAAGTTTACCTTGTGTCCATAAGAAGCCAAACCCAGCCAAGACATCAATTTACACGCAACTCCTTCAAACGACATCTCAAACAAACATCATCAAGGTTTTCTACTGCTGTGAAATACAAAGTGTCTGCAACATCAGACACCCATTACAACACTTGAGTGAGTAAAGTAATGTTTGGACGACCCTTAAAACATTTCTAAATCTAACAAAATGATCCCTTCGCTAACTCTAACACCACGACCCTTCGCTAACTCTAACATTACGATCCTTCGCTAACTCTATTAATACGATCCTTCGTATCAATACGATCACTATGCACAATCTAACAGCGGTTTGCCATAATAGGTTATGGGTTGCCTACACCCCCCCCCCCCCCCCAAGCATTGTCTTGAACTGTGCCAGCAGTTCAAGCAGTTGAAAATGTGTTACCTGAGTAAGTTCAAGTTTAACGTAATCAAATCTGTTGTCAGCGCTAGTTGCATTCAGTTCTGTATTCGCGGTTTTATTCTATCAAAGTTCCTGTGTTGAAAAATCTACGACGGTGGTAAAACATAATCTCTTGACAAAATATCGCAAGGACAAATGATCTCAGGACAAAATCTGAAGGGCAAATGTCCTCATGACAAAATATCTCAGGGACAAATGATCTCAGGACAAAATCTAAAGGACAAATTATCTCACGGACTAAATATCTCAGGAACAAATCATCTCAGGACAAAATATCTCAGGAACAAATTATCTCAGAACAAAATATCTCCCGGACAAATGATCTTACGACAACAAATCACATGGAAAAATTATCACACGGATAAAATCCTCACGACAAAATATATCAGGACAAAATTAATCAGGACAAAAGATATCTTGGATATGAGTAACACAATAAACCGACAGATGGGCTGAATAACTAGAAAAAAAAAAATAGACGATGTATTTTTCTTTTAAAAATAAATTTAATGTTCAACTTGATCGAAGATGGCGAACTCTGACGTAAGAACTGTTAATTCTTGAAAACCAAATCCGGCACGGAATTTAATTGGGCAACAAGGACGGGAAACAAAAAGTTTGAGTTTAAAAAGTGGATGTGATTGGAGGAAATGGCGTGGGGCGCCCCACTGTGGGGCCATGAATTCAAACAAAAACCCCAGGACGGGAATTGTTCGCGGGAACCCAGAGATTGAAGGTCGTGGGAAAGTTCGTCTTCAAAGCGAGTTTTTTTGTAAGCGGTTTTTTCGGCTTTACGTTGACTTTGTTAATTGTTTTGTTTTTTTCTGTGAGGGGTGTTAAATTGTTGGCTGTGACCACAAGGGCGCCTGCATCCAGCATTACATCCAGCATGACATCCAGCATGACATCCAGCATGACATCCAGCATGACATCCAGCATGACATCCAGCATGACATCCAACATGACATCCAGCATGCCATCCAGCATGACATCCAGCATGACATCCAGAATGACATTCAGTATGACATTCAGCATGACATTCAGCATGACATCCAGCATGACATCCAGCATGAAATCCAGCATGACATCCAGCATGACATCCAACATGACATCCAGCATGACATCCAGTATGATATTCAGCATGACATCCAGCATGACATCAGCATGACATCCAGCGTAACATTCAGCATGACATCCAGCATGACATCCAGCATGACATTCAGCATGTTAAATGATGACAAAGTCATGTTCAGTACTACATGCAAATGTAAAGCTGCTATTGACAATGTCATTTTCAGTACAGCATGACATACAGTATAATAATGTCAAATGTGGCAAATGACAATGTCATTTTCAGTACAGCACGACATTTATCATGACAACGTAAATCTGCTGTTGACAACATCATTTTAGTGCAGCATCACATGCAGTATGATAATGTCAAATGTACAAATGGCAATGTCATAATCAGTGCAACATGACATTCAGCATGAAATGTCAAATGTGGCAAATGGCAATGTCATGATCAGTGCAACATGACATTCAGCATGACATCGCATGTCAAAAGCATGCCGCAAATGTCAAGATAAGCAGAAAACCACCCACGTGCAACATCAAAAGCCAATTACTTAACGCTCCAAAAATCAATTAATCAAATTCACCTGCACTTGATGCTAAAAAACAAGTCAAAATTTGAAAGTGTCGGGTAAATTAATTTCAATTGCTTTGAATTGTCCAGCCTCAAAATGCCAAATGCATCTAATTTTTAGTTGATTAAGTACGGTACATCTGTAATGGTAAAACTCACATTGCAAGCTGTAATATTTTAGATGCTGAGTAATTACTTGTTTACCCGCTCAATCAGTTATCTTCGATATTCGCTTAATTAATCAGTTTTTCGAATGTTCGCATTTCACTGCGACGTAGGCCTACTGCTTTCAAATGATCTGCACTGAGAGGAAACTCGATTCAGCATTACACACTCTACACACAGAACTAAATAAAGGTGTTGGTGATACTAGATAGCTATTTGATGATACTAGACTAGATAGTTTTGGGTGATAATTGGTAGTTATAGATGATACCACCCAGCTAGTGGCAAAACCTATTGGTTGTACAAGAGATATCACATCGTTACCTTCACATTTGTGGTAATAAAAAAATTTTTTTATAGCAAACCTCACCTGTTGCGGGCGGTCCGAAATGTTTTTTTTTTAAACCAAGAGTAAATAAATTCCTCACGTGTGAAATCACGTGACGTACGATCACGTGATAAGGCGGAAATAAATCGCTTGTATGTTTTAGAGTGCTCTCCCCTGCACTTGGGCCTCTACAAATAAATCCATTCATCTCGGGGTGGAGAAATAGATGGGGGTAGGCTAGGGAATAGATGGGGGTAGCCTAGGGAATAGGGAATAGATGAGGGTAGCCTAGGGAATAGGGAATAGATGAGGGTAGCATAGGGAATAGATGGGGTAGCCTAGGGAATAGGGAATAGATGAGGGTAGCCTAGGGAATAGGGAATAGATGAGGGTAGCATAGGGAATAGATGGGGGTAGCCTAGGGAATAGGGAATAGATGAGGGTAGCCTAGGGAATAGGGAATAGATGAGGGTAGCATAGGGAATAGATGGGGTAGCCTAGGGAATAGGGAATAGATGGGGGTAGCCTAGGGAATAGGGAATAGATGAGGGTAGCATAGGGAATAGATGGGGGTAGCCTAGGGAATAGGGAATAGATGAGGGTAGCCTAGGGAATAGGGAATAGATGAGGGTAGCATAGGGAATAGATGGGGTAGCCTAGGGAATAGGGAATAGATGAGGGTAGCCTAGGGAATAGGGAATAGATGAGGGTAGCATAGGGAATAGATGGGGTAGCCTAGGGAATAGGGAATAGATGAGGGTAGCCTAGGGAATAGGGAATAGATGGGGGTAGCCTAGGGAATAGGGAATAGATGAGGGTAGCCTAGGGAATAGGGAATAGATGAGGGTAGCATAGGGAATAGATGGGGTAGCCTAGGGAATAGGGAATAGATGAGGGTAGCCTAGGGAATAGGGAATAGATGGGGGTAGCCTAGGGAATAGGGAATAGATGAGGGTAGCCTAGGGAATAGGGAATAGATGAGGGTAGCATAGGGAATAGATGGGGTAGCCTAGGGAATAGGGAATAGATGAGGGTAGCCTAGGGAATAGGGAATAGATGGGGGTAGCCTAGGGAATAGGGAATAGATGAGGGTAGCCTAGGGAATAGGGAATAGATGAGGGTAGCATAGGGAATAGATGGGGTAGCCTAGGGAATAGGGAATAGATGAGGGTAGCCTAGGGAATAGGGAATAGATGGGGGTAGCATAGGGAATAGATGGGGTAGCCTAGGGAATAGGGAATAGATGGGGGTAGCCTAGGGAATAGATGGGGTAGCCTAGGGAATAGGGAATAGATGGGGGTAGCATAGGGAATAGATGGGGTAGCCTAGGGAATAGGGAATAGATGAGGGTAGCATAGGGAATAGATGGGGTAGCCTAGGGAATAGATGGGGTAGCCTAGGGAATAGATGAGGGTAGCCTAGGGAATAGATGGGGGTAGCCTAGGGAATAGGGAATAGATGGGGGTAGCCTGGGGAATAGATGGGGGGTAGCCTAGGGAATAGGGAATAGATGGGGGTAGCCTAGGGAATAAATGGGTATAACCTGGGGAATAAGGAATAGATGGGGTAGTCTAGGGATGGACCCCACCCCCCCCCCCCGACTTCTCCATGGGCCACCTCCATCCCCCCCCCCCCCCTGCACCAACGTATGTAACTAAAGTCCAGCCAGCGTGAGAACATATTTTATAGGACAAACACAAAAAAAACTCAGTTTTACTGACTATAATGGAAAAGTTTTTACAAATTTTCTGGTTCATTAAATAAACTGGTCGGCTGGCGTTAATTTCTTTTAAAATTAGTTTTTTTGTTGTCACTCTTGGTATTTCAATATTCATTACATTAGCTCTATTTAATTAACTAGTGTTCACTGTATTTTTTAATAAAAACTGTTGATCATTCAAACTCCACGTTCTAGTAATATGGTGGCTATTTATACGACTAGGCTAAAATTTTAAAATGGCCCTTTATGCTGTATGGTTTTTTTTTTTACACCTTTTATAGGAATGTGTGTGTTTGACTTTTTATTATTATTATTATTATTTTATTATTATTAATTTGTATTATTATCAAATATAGGTATTTTTGCTACAATATATATATATATATATATATATATATATATATATATATATATATATATATATATATATATATATATATATATATATATATATACATATATATATAGACATATATATATATATATATATATATATATATATATATATATATATATATATATATACATATATATATATATATATATATATACATATATATATATTGTATATATATATTTTAAATGAGCGTATAAACAGGTTATACATTTGCATACAATTATTCGATCTATTGATTATGATTACACGTACATACATGTTAATTGTGTAAATATGATAATGTATTTACTAAGCACCTATTCCTGTGGGCCCATATAGAGAGGTTCATGTAAGTCTTGAATTAAGTGCACCATAATATATTTTGGCCAAGACAGCCTTTAAAATATTTCCACTTTCATTTTTAAGTAATCGCCCTTAAATTTTTTTGTTGCTCTTAATTACAACGTAATTTAGATTTTAAGGGCTCGCTTTAAGATGTGTGCTCTGGACGTTTAAAAAATTACGTAATGGCCCAAAGTTTTAAAGCACTTTTAATTCATGAGCTCAGGGCATAACTCTGTCACAGTGGCGCTGCTTGTTTGGGTTATGTCCCTGTTGGCTCTTTTCTTAATCTACCAATACGGCACGTTAAGAACATGGCTTTTAAATAAATTATCAAAACGGGGCTTTTAAATAAACTATCAAAACATGGCTTTTAAATAAACTATCAAACAACATGGCTTTCAAATAAGCTATCAAAATAACAGCTGTGGAAAATGGTTCCAATATTGACTATTGAAACAACAGTTATATAAACATATAAACCATATTAAAACAACGCCGTTATTTGTATTCAAAGCTTTCAAAGCTTCTCAAATGCTTTAAATAAGATAATTTTGAATGATCATATCGCAACAATCAATTCTAAATTGTATTCCTTGATAGTATGAAAAAAACGGCCTTGGAACTAACAGTAGAACATTTAGAAACAGAATCGTTAAAGTACGTGTCAGACTAACGTGAAAAAAAACGGCTTCAAATGTATGGCTGACGTTGACAGGGCATACATAAATAACGGTTGTCAAATGCAGAGTCGGCGCATACCAGTAGACGGCGCCCTAAAGAAAAAATTACAGACACGTATAGAGCACGGATATAGCCCGCAGTAAACAGACACGTATAGAGCATGGATATAGCCCGCAGTAAACAGACACGTATAGAGCATGGATATAGCCCGCAGTAAACAGACACGTATAGAGCATGGATATAGCCCGCAGTAAACAGACACGTATAGAGCATGGATATAGCCCGCAGTAAACAGACACGTATAGAGCATGGATATAGCCCGCAGTAAACAGACACGTATAGAGCATGGATATAGCCCGCAGTAAACAGACACGTATAGAGCATGGATATAGCCCGCAGTAAACAGACACGTATAGAGAATGGATATAGCCCGCAGTAAACAGACACGTATAGAGCATGGATATAGCCCGCAGTAAACAGACACGTATAGAGCATGGATATAGCCCGCAGTAAACAGACACGTATAGAGCATGGATATAGCCCGCAGTAAACAGACACGTATAGAGCATGGATATAGCCCGCAGTAAACAGACACGTATAGAGCATGGATATAGCCCGCAGTAAACAGACACGTATAGAGCATGGATATAGCCCGCAGTAAACAGACACGTATAGAGCATGGAAATAGCCCGCACTAAACAGACACGTATAGAGCATGGATATAGCCCATAGTAAACAGACACGTATAGAGCATGGATATAGCCCGCAGTAAACATAACAGACACGTATAGAGCATGGATATAGCCCGCAGTAAACAGACACGTATAGAGCATGGATATAGCCCGCAGTAAACAGACACGTATAGAGCACGGATATAGCCCGCAGTAAACATAACAGACACGTATAGAGCATGAATATAGCCCGCAGTAAACATAACAGACACGTATAGAGCATGGATATAGCCTGCAGTAAACATAACAGACACGTATAGAGCATGGATATAGCCCGCAGTAAACAGACACGTATAGAGCATGGATACAGCCCG